ATATTATATATATATATATATAATATTATATATTATATTATATATATATATATATATTATATATATATATTATATATATATATATATGTATATGATTCACTTTCAAAAGTAATTCATGTGATCCACTTTATGTGATCCCCCAAACCAACAATATTCAGACTATATCTTGCAATTAATTATATACTTTATTATATTATTATATACAGTGTAATTAATTATATACTATAAGTAGTTTTTATTTACAATTATTTTTTTATCATTTGAAGGTGAAAAAAAGAAACTGACTAAAGTTGCGAAGAAGAAAAAATTTAAGATTAAGCCTTGGATTGGGGTTAGTAATAAATCAAACAGATTTTAAACATACATAATATTGGATAAAAAATATATTGATTTGTGTAAGTGTACAATTTTAAAATATTATTGCCAATCTCATTCACTCTTTATTTTATACTTTTCAGTCAATTATTAATATATTTACTGGGTTGCTGACTCGAGTGAAACCGAAGATGAAAGAGTAGAGAAATGGCTCAGCATTCTCAATCACATTGTCAACATTCATCAACATGCTGAGCACAGCATCTTTGTTGAATGTCTTCATGGACCAGTTGAAAGAGATTGGCTTAAAAAAGGTTAGTAAGGCTAAATAAAAAATATAATTAAATCCATGTTGGCAATGTATATTATATAATATTTTATTCATTACAGGCTCAGCAGCTTACAAAAAGTTAGAAGAAATGGTAACTAGGCCTCGACTTATTGCTGCAATCCGCAAGTTATCTAAGTATCACCAAACATCAGGCTTGGAGGCCAAACATGCTTTAGATAACTTGTTTGCTTCAAAGAATACCTATCACTCTTATCATTCCCTGAGTGCAAGGTTAATTTTTTTAAACTTTGTATATTTTACCCAAGTATTGCATAATATTATATGTAGCTGCTCATCATTTTCTTATAATATTTAGATTGTACTGCTCAAACTTGCACTACAATGAGAACAGCAATAGGAAGCAAGCAACAACTGCTGATGGAAAGTTAAGATGGGCAATTTCTTATCCAAAAGCCTTCAAAGGGGAGAAAGCAGTTCCAAAACCTTTAAAGGAAAAGCCAACCTATAGTAAGTATTGACACCATATTTTTAGGTTCACCTAACATACCATTATCCAATCCAATATATAAATTAAGAAACTTTTAACATCTGATTTAACAGAATATATACACTTGATATTAAACAAAGTCATTGAGATGAGAAGCCAGTATCCTTCACTGAAGAAAGCTAGAGTTTATGCAAATGATATGCTACCTGCTGAACCACAATCTCTAGTTGAAAAGTATTTGGCAGAAAGGGAGAGACCATCAAAGGAGCATGTTGTGGCCAGCAGAAAATCAAGGTTTAGCACACCAGCTTTACCTATAAGTGAAGAAAGAAGAAATAATAAGCCTTGTGCTTGTAAAGGAAAATGTGCTACTAGAAAGTGTGATTGCCGGGCATTGGAAGTGATCTGTGACAGCAAATGTAAATGTAAAGTAGCAAAATGTATAAATCGAGAATGAAACAAATTTTAGACCATGTAAAGTCTGTTCTACACACCAGGTCTGCTTTGGGTGCCACAGCTATATGTTTTACTGCTATATTTGCAAATAAAGCAATTCCAAATGAAATCAAAGTGTTTGTTCACATTATGGAGTTTACATGCTCTATAAATTTATGTGAATATAAATACATGCACAGAATGCACATAGGCAGAGAGGATTATTTCACAGGGGTTAGTTAGTTCCATTTAACTTGAATATAGCAAATTAAAATATTACCTCTTTGATGTTTTGGCATATTTAAAATGCGTATAGAGACCATCCGGCGAAGCAAAGCAGTCTCGTATGCTTGCATATACACAGGCAGGAAACGGTCTGCGCCTCTTTTTCCCCAATATCTGGAAAATCCAGCGTGAGCATCGTTGGTATGAGACTAGACGGTAGAGCTTGTGAATCTTTTCCAAATCCCCATCGTCTAAAGGCCAATTTTCTTCGAGATAGCGACAAACATCTATCTTCAGCACGCCTTTGGACAACATGTTGTCTCGAAAGTCCGGATGTAACGTCAAACACTTTTCGCCCTGTGCTTCTGTTTCATCAAGTAAAACTTCATACTCGCCATACTCAACTGCTTTTTCATGGCAACAAAAACACTCAATAGTTTTCGCTGACAATGCACATCGACCACATTTGCACCAACTTAAAGTTTCCAGACGCCACGCGTTCGCTATTTCGAAATTGTTATCGACTTCATCCTCAGACGAAGACAAAACACTACCTCGTTCCGAATCGCTTTCATCACTCAAATCACTTGTTTCTGCCCCCGTTTCTGGCTCAAATTGGTAAGGCAAGACTTCGTCTACTTGGTTTTCGTGAATTTTTTCCATCACAATACTAAAATTTCTAAAAAGCCAGCCAAGCGCCGTATAAAGATATATTGCTGTTTGTTTTAACCCAGCCAATGACGTCACAACAAGTCATGTGACCCATAGATAATTTTTTACGGATTTCATCAAAGATGGCGGAATAAGTGATAAATTGTTACATGTTTAGCTGCAAATAACTCCTGAGCAAAGGAGTTCTGTAAAAAAATAATTTCATATCCAGTGTTAACTGACCAAACTTTGTCGTAATAGGGAATAAAAATTTTCGTTGCCAATGTCCTTTAACTACGTTGTAATTAAAACCGATTTATAGTTAACTATCCTCAACGGTATAGCTAACTTTTAAAAATCGCGTGTTGAACTTTTGAAGAGTGAGAGAATATTAAAATCAACAGGTACTACCAAATGCCGTTGAAGCTTGTAAACTTTCAATACACTTTAATTTTTGTCATATGGGTGTCAATGCCAAATTATGATCCTAACAAAGATTAGCCATCTCCATTTTTGTTGCAACCTGTAGTTTGAACTTTTTTCTTGTTTTATATCATTTTTCCAAAATATCGATCAAAATGCTGTCAATTTTTGTAAATACGAGTCCTTAGTGGTGTTTAAAATCTATAGCAACTGTCAATAATATTGAAAAACATGATATTTCTCTGTTTAACAACCCCACGAAAGTTAACTACATTATTAACTAATCATATGTTTTGTGCAATGCAGTGAAGTCTTAGTTTAAGTTAACCACGTTTTTATACAACCGACCCTGGCGTTTCGACCCCGTCGTTGAAAACAATTAATCGTTTATAAATATATTTTGAAGGGGGCAACTCTAGCCTTTAGGTAAACGCTCTCCAGAGTGGAAGAATTTGAAAACGACGGCTGAGCGGATACATGTGGATGACTTTGCTGGATAAATTTGAAAACGATGACGTCACATATCAAATCGTTTCGTATAAATGAGGCTTGTTTGCACGTTTTGTGGCTAATGTTTAACTTTATATTGCTATATTAGTGTGAAATGCCCAAACAAAGTTCTTATTCTTGTTTTTTGCGTTGGATTTCGCAGATTTTTGTTTTGAATTCGACATCCAACCTGTGACACGCGGGTGGAAAACATGAAGATGTAATGCGGGATCAAATAACTTCAGCGTTTTGGATTTTTTTGTGTTTATGTGTGGACGCGGATAAATATTTTAACGGATAAATATTTTTGCGTTTTCAAATTCTTCCGGCATCGTGTAGACAGGACATTTTCAGACTCTACATAGGCTTGAAATTGGAAGTTGTTATAATATTATGTAGCTACGTATCTTTTGGTTTTACTTCTTTTGGAGATTTAGTTTTTTATCCAGTATTTTACTCCCTTCCAATCTCGTTTTTCCAGCACACCATTTGAACTGGATATGCAATTCTCACTTTCCTTTTTATTCGGAACTCTTTCTTGTCTTACAAGGTTGCCCAAGTGGTCAAGAATACATTTCTTTTCCTCCTTCGTCCATATTCTTCGTATTATGTCTGTTTTTTCTGAGCATAAAATAGTAATTTGTTTAAGACTCAAACAATACCTGCATGACCTGATATAGATGTTTTAAATACTTAATACTATATCGAATTATAGTCGGGTCCGAGCATTTGTTAACACACCCAAGACCAAGTGTTTTCAAATTAAGTTCAAGACAATAAAATCCATATCCAAGGCATGCAGTAATCTGTGGCGATTACACGCATCTATATTGCTATGCCCTAGCATAAATATATGCTTTGCGCAATAAATACAGTGTCGCCCAAAAAGTGACACTACAGAAATTACCCTATTTTATATTACGTGACTGAGAATGACTATTTTACGTTGACTATTTTATATTATGTTGCATTGACTGAGAATGCATCTAGTAATTAAGCTGTTATTCTTGGAAGGTCCCGCAATCTAATTATCATGTTGTTCGCAATTAATAATTCATTCTTGATTCATTTATAGTAGGAATGTAAGAAATAATTTAAAGTAGAAATATTTGCAAAAAAAATAGACAAATTTAGGCTTTAATATTATTGTTTAAAGGTGGTAAATGTAGCAAAATAGCAAAATAAAAGGAAATTCCATGAGAAACATCAGCATAGCATCGCGGTTAGCATGTATTTGCAAATCTCGTGACATATATGACAATGACAAAGCACTAACCCAATTGAAAGATTAATTAGTTGTAAAATTTATATTTAGTTAAGTACCCAACTATTGCAATACACTATGCGACAATAGTATTAATGGCGACTTGCGCTTTAGACTTATTGCTGCCACAGCGAGGTCGCCTTAAGCGACCGAGCAAGGCAGCAGTCCTAAATTTGAAATAGGGTGCCAAATCTTGATTTTTGCCAAGAGCAATGCATTGTGGTCTCACTTTTCGCAGTTTATTTTCTAACCATAATGCACATCGGTTTGTTTGAATAAAACCTCTGTGGTCGGAATTGTTTGCTCTTTGTAAGTCTAGCTACGTTTCAAAGACGAAAGTAAACCTTTTTTATTCCCTTGTCAAACATTTACACAATTCAGTCGTACCGCGATTAAATTGTAACATATAGTAGAAACCGGGCTTCGCATAGTCTCGAATTTAGTGGTTTACCGTAAGGTGTGACCAGGTGAGTTTACTAGTTTCTATTACTGATCAACTTTGAATTTAAAATATTTCGTTTTACTTTGTATTTTACTTCGTATTTTACTTCGTATATAACCGCGCGGTAATATAAATTCACATGCTTGGGCATAAAAAAATTCGCGACCTTTTGTATTTTTTTGTGTAGCGTTGCTTTAATACAGTAGCTTTGATTTCCTATTTGCATTTCGCGTTGCTATCAGGATCTTTTATCTAAACTTATTCTCAATGTACTTCTATTGTATACGAGTTAAATATAAGTCATTGGTCGTTTTAGGTATTATTTTATTATGACTGTCTGAACTTTTTGCCTTAATTAATTGGTGTCATATTTCCATATTTTCCGAGTTGGAAGTCGTTTACACTATATACAAACTAACCCGGGTCGAACTCGGTTAACGCAAACCCGGGTTAGTTTATTTAAGTTTAAGCACTTGCGTATTTTTGTTAGTTCAACCCGGGTTAGTTTGCGTATTGTGTAGTTCGACCCGGGTTAGTTTGCGTATTGTGTAGTTCGACCTGGGTTAGTTTGCGTATTGTGAAGTTCGACCCGGGTTAGTTTGCGTATTGTGTAGTTCGACCCGGGTTAGTTTGCGTATTGTGTAGTTCAACCTGGGTTAGTTTGCGTAGTGTAAGCAAGGCCCTACTTTTAACTCAAAAATATTTCATTTTAGTTCGTATTTTATTTGGTGTATCTGTATATTGCGCCCTTTATAGACATCAAGAAATTCGACCGCGTGTTAGTCGTTTAGCTGTTTGTGTGGCGTTGCTGAAGTATACACGGAAGTTTTTAATTTCCCGTTTTCATTCTGCATTGCCATCAGGATTATCTTTTTATAAAGCCTTTATCTTAGTTATACTTTTAACTCAAAAATATTTTGTTAGTCATGGTACCTGATACTTTTATAACCGCGATGTATATTGTGCGCTTTATAAACTTGTTGTTGTAAGTTATTGTCCGTTTTAGGTTTTAATATACTGGCAGAATGGTTTGTGTTATTTATCCTTTTAATTAAAAAACATCAAAACATCTCACTTTGTATTTTACCTCGTGTATATGGTCAGCAGCCATAGCTGCCCTGTATAAACGCGCTTATAAACCCGCTTGTTATATAATAAAATCACGCTTTCACATGCGTAGCAGTTAGTTTTTTATTAGTTTTGTTCTGTTCTGTTTATCTTGAGTCATTTTAAAATGCAACAGAAACGCTCTTTATAATTTTTGTAACCATAGAATGTTTCCCGAATTCCTTACCATTAAACCATTACTATAAATGATTTTACGCATAAACATTAAATATTATTGTATGTTGTTTTTTAAGAATGTGCAAACTCTAAACGTACCTTTACCCCTTAGTTTGGTATTAGGCACACTTATGACCATACAGACGTCAAATTGAAAAGTAAACTTGAAAGTGACTTTCTATCTCCATACAAGGGTACATCAGCCCATTTTTATGTCGTCTTTTACGTCAATATAAATTTGCTCAACATAATGATAAGTATATAATTTTTTGTCTTATATATTAACTAGATAAGTGTCACAACTCTGTGTTTTGCTATCAAAGGCAGCATTACTACCCTTTGGGTAACCTAGTTTTTGATCGAAGTAATAAGAAGTAAATAAATCACCTCAGCTAGAAAGACTTTACTAAAATTAGTAAAATTTTCAAGTTTGGCTGTGAAAGTGCGCACTTGAATTAGTGCAAATGCAAAAATTTGGTAAAATACAGCCATGGCATATTTCATATACTTTTGTATTTTGCGCGGATATGTGTAACTAATTTAGTTACAAACTTCCGGCCGTAAAGAAATTAAAAGTGATCTGAAACGTGAACCACACCTTTTTGTTCCAAACTTGGTAGAGGATTGTGGCTTCTGGGATTGCCCTATAAAAAATAATTGCTCTAAGCTATGGCCAGCATCTGCAAGTACTAGCATGATTCAGACAAATAGTTTCCTTTTAGATCGACCAAACAATAAACTTGGAAAAAAATATATTAAGCGTTCCTCTGTAATAACTGTCCTATTTTAAACTTGATTATAAAATTGCACAACGAATTATTACCGCTTTAAACATGTTTCCCAATTTTTTGAGGTGGTCACAACGACCAATAATTGTCGACAACTATCTTTTACTTTGAAGCATGCAATATCCTCTTGAGACGTAAAATTCGAAAAATGAGGAAAAAGGACATATATTTTGAAAAAAATTTGCGTTTGCATGTGTCGTGAACAAAATTGGTTGTATGTGATATGCTAAAATTCGCCTAGTTGTCACAACACTTGTCAACAACAAAGCCGCTGTGAACTGTAAAGGCTCTACAGGCATGTTTCAAGTCGGGAAAAATCAAG